AAGATATCTACTTCTGTTACAAAGCTGAGACAACCATGAATACCTTCGAAAAATTTTAAGCGTAGCTAATACCAAACTTCCAAGAAACCATACAGATAGTTGTTCTGAAGACATGATACATTATTACAAACACATAGTAGAAGAATTCCACCAACACTACAATTCTGAGGTAATAAAAGCACAAAGGGATAGACTCACTATATAATAATTTAACCTGCTTTTTCCTCTTAGCTTGACAACACTTTGAAGACCAGGGGGCTAGGTTAGTCAGAACTTGACTATCTGCTTCTGTGCTGAACTTGAGTATGGAAAAAAGAGGCTAATTGGAGCAAGCATGTTGTGCTGTAGTGGAATGTATTTTGTTTGATATTCGTGTTTAAACTTTCATTTTCACCTGTAAAAAAAAAAGGAGTTAAAATTGATGACTTTCGAAGTATTATGTATTTTTAATTAAGAAAAATCATTTTTTCCCCAAATGAAATCTTATATGGAGCCTAAATGTAAAAAATAAAGATGAAAGTTGAGTAGCTCGGTGAGAGAGAGTGTGTGTGTGGGTGTCTGGAAACCATTCTGTCGATTTCATCTCTCCCACTCTCAGAAATTTCTGGAGCACCTTTTCAAAAAGTGAGAAATAATGATTCCTTTAAACACAATTTGAAAAACACAGCTCTATCTCTAAATTTGAATTTAACTTAGTTTTATTATATTGGTGGTATTTTAGGACCACAATAGCTTCTATGACTACTTTTAAAGAAAAATATTTCCATGTCTTAGTTAATGGCTCATTGTTCACAGCAATATTAAATGCAACAAAATCTAAATTCAGAAACAATAGTTAAACAACATTTTGAGTTAACCACAATGAGATTTAGCGAGAAAATGTTACTGTGAATGATTAGATGTTGTTCCGTATAGCACACAAAAAATACAATGAGCAAAACATTTTAGAAAATTGTTATGCTTCCATTGTGATGATCGATTATTTGTTAACTTGGCAGGTGCCGGGCCACAGTGCAAGCTATTTCCTTACAAACAAGGACACGCTTTTATGCAAATGCTGAAAAGTGTTTAAGAGATCTTTGCTAAGGAAAAATAGTATTAATCTCCAAAACATAAAATGTATGATATTCAATATGCATCTTACTTATGGCAAACCTTTAGCCTTGATGTTAGAAGTATAAATGGAACTAATTAATGAATTTGATCAGAGCCCTTTAGGCTGTGGTTGTGATGAAACAACTCATCACAACCCCCACATGACTTGGAGAGGATAGTGGTCTAATGTAGCAAAAGGTGGTAGACATGGGGACTGATGTTGGTACGAGCCCAGATGGGATCTGTCTTATGGTAATTAGTCTCAGGAAAATGTCTCTAATAGCAGATTTCTTGGTGGCACCAGCCATGCAGTTGCTGCCGCACCTGTCATGGTGTCAGCAGTAGAACCCTTTCAAGAAGCTGCAGGCCACAGCTGTACCCGTTGTCATGGGGCCTCTCTGCTCAACTCTCTTGGAAAGGCTAGGTTTGACCACCCTCCTCCCTTTTCTGAAATTTTGTTTTAACTGATTTTTTTTTTCAGCACTGTAGGATGACATCACATTCCCTATTATTAGTCCAAAGAAGAGAGAAAGAGAAAATGTACCATTTGGGTGCAATCCAAGGAGAGCTGGAGTGGGTATAGGGATAAATGATGAGACATAAAGAGACGTATATATGTTCATGGCTCTTGATTTCTTTCCAACTGCCCCTTTTTAAGAAATGGGAAGTAATCTTTTTTTTTCTTTAACATTTAATTTTTATGTGTAGGTACCATTCAAATTGTTCAAAAGCCAGCACACATAAGTATACAGTGGAAAGTCTTCCTCCCATCATGTGTCCTATCTAGTTGTCCCCTAATGGGTCACCCTTGTTCTTAGTTTCATGTGTAACCTTCCAGAAATTCTTTAGTCATATATAAGCAAATACAAATATAGATTCTTATTTTAAGAAAACTAAGCACATAACTTTTAAGAACTGTCCCAGGAAGCTGGTAGGTATTTCTTCTCGTATCTAAAGCGTGCAGATAAGATCCTTCTGATATTGTAAGTGGTCTTACAAAGGACAGAGCGCTCGCTGGTGGACGAGGGCTTCCTGTAACTGGCCTGCTGAGTAGGGGTGACAAAGTGCAGTTGAGTCAGGACTCCCGGAGTACACGACTTCCCTTCCCATCACTGTGAAAGTAAAGGGAAATCACTGAAAGGAACGAGAGGAAAAAGAAACCAGATCCATACCTAGAAACAATTTACAGATGAAGTGTGGTCATCTTTTCAAATCAACTGCTTTTTCTATTATTTCCTAAAGACATTAAATAAACCCCAGCCAGTGCCGGTGCTGTGAGTTCAGAGCAGATCCCACGGTGTTGGCAAATCACTCAACTGGCCCTAGCAATGGGGCTGGATTGAACCGTAGCTGAAAGAATTACAGTGTTTCCTTCCTCTTGATGACCCTCTCTGGAACATGCCTGGAATGAGTGAGTGCAGGAGGTGAGGCGGGGTTCGCTCAGAGGCAGGGCTGAGTGTGCGTGTGGAAGGGGAGGTGTGCGCATGTGTTATTTTTGGAGGCTGTAATTCCACTGCTGGTTTTCTTAGCTCATCCTCTCTTGTGATGCTTTTATTATCTTAACCTCTGTCCCGAGATCTTAAAAGCTACCACTGAGGCTAGAAGTAAGATGGATGTTTCAAAGTCAGCCTTGGAAACCCATTCTAGGGCAGATTTTCTCCTTCAATCCCATGTATTAACGTGACGATAAAATGCAACTGTAACTCCTGCTTACACTAAGACTTGACTTTGAAAATTTTTTTCCTAATTAGGTAAAGATGTAACTCCTAGTAAGATCATCATCAAAACATCACTGTATACACTGGCAACTGCCATTAAAAACGAATCTTATGAGGAGTTCCTACGAGGTACAGTGCTTGACATAAGTAGGTGCTCAAGAAAGGTCTGGTAGATGCACATTAGTCAACCTTAAATGCTCAGCAGCTATTGATCCCTTTGGCATTTCATAAAAACGGTAGCATTTGCTTTTTTCCTATAAACTCAGTAGCTGTCAAAACAATTTGTTAAATATGGACAAGAAGGTCAGTTTAGACTCAAAGAAGCATTTTCATTTTTAGCCTGATTATTCTAGAAGTGGGAGGCAAGTAAATGGATAGGCTTGTATCAGGCAGATCTGAAATAAAATTTGCCCATCCATCCATCCATCCAGCCATCCAAGCATTCAACAGATACTTATTAAGTCTCCTACATGTCAAGATTAGCCAGGATATTCCTATATAAATAAACTCCTAAATTCCCGTCCCTGTACAAAACAGTTGGAATTTACCAGCTAGGGGAACAGAGAGTAAATAAAATAATCACAAATTGAGGTAATCTTTATAAAGAAAACAAACAGGAGGCTGAATTAGAGGAGAATGAGAATGAGAGTGTTGTAGGTTTTGCAGATAAGGCAGGCAGAGAAGCCCTTTATGAGAAAGTGGAATTTAAGCTGAGACCCAAAGAATGAGCAGAAGGTGGCCATCCCAAGAGCGGAGAAAGTTATTTCAGGCAAAGGGAACAGCATGTACAAAGGCTCTGAGGTAGGAAAGGGGGTGGTATATCAAAGACTGAAAGACCAGTGAGCATTTTTAATCCTAGCTCTGCCTTCAATAGCTGTGGAAGATTAAACAAGCTACTTGATCTTCTGAGCCTTCATCTCTTCATATTTAAAACTGAGTTAATGATGCATACCTCACAGGGTTGTTGGGAGAATTTAATGTGTATTAAATGAGATAACATGTAGCTTATTTGAATCACTTTACATCTACACAAATGTCTCTGAGACTCTAGCTAGGTCCTCATCACCCAGTGTGTTTGACTTTTCTGGTCTCCTGATCGTTTCATATCGACTTGAGAGCCAACCACTGGAGCTAGAGAACATTTTCCATCTCTGATATTTCCACATTTAAACAGAGGACAGAATAGGCACAGATTCCATTTGCTCCTGTTAGGAACTTTAGAAATCAAAAGGAAGGAGAGGGAGGGAGAAAGGAGAGGGGGTAGGGGGAGAGAGAGAAAAAAAAACCTGAGAAAACAAAAAGAGGATTTTCTTTAAAGTGTGCTTCAACATTTATGGTATAAATTCATGAAATAAATTTTAAAGATCAAGAGAGTTTTGTTTTACATTTGGGGGGAGGTTGAAGTTTGGGGTAGGTGTTCAGGAAATGGAACAAAGAGAAATGAAATAATGGTCATTGAGTACCTGATATATAACAGACACAGTGCTTGGCAATTTACATATTTTATTTTATTTTATTTTCACAAGAATTGCAAAAGATAGGTCTTATTTGCCTCATTTTAAAGACGAAGCAAATGTTTTTAAAAAAATAATGAGGCAAATTAGGCTCAGAGGGAAACACAGACTTCCCTTAGTTACTATCCCTCCCTTATCTTGGGATATGTAATGTGGAATTGAGCAATTCTTTAAAAATGATAGTCTATAAACCATAAGAGTATGTAGTTGATATATTTCTTTAGAATACTTTATTATTGCGGCAGTACTACATTAGCATCAATTAATAACAATTATATAACTATAAATAACTATTAATTATAATGAATACTGAAAATAATACCATTATCATTAATTTATTTCAGCACAACAAATATTTACTGAATACCCAACTATGTCTCAGGCACTATAGTGGACAGAGATATATAGTGCATGGCTTGTTTGGGGGAATGATGGGTAGCCCATTGCAGCCAGGGTGTGCAGTGGGCAGGGGAGGTTTGCAGGGTCTAGGCGATGAAGGGTCTTAATGCCTTAGTAAAGTGTTTGTCCAGTGGAAGATAGACACATGATCAGAAAGCATTTTAGGGAGACCGTTCCCACAACTATTTTTAGGCAAGGCTTTGTAAGCAGCAGGTTAGCCTATGGGGTCATGTTCATAAACTTCGTCTTACATTATGCTTCCTCTTTCCTTTTAGGAACGGTGGAAGGTGCCATGGACTTGATCTTGATCAATTCCCTACCTCTTGTATCTGATGCTGAAACATCCCTTACCTGCATTGCCTCTGGGTGGCGCCCTCATGAGCCCATCACCATAGGAAGGGACTTTGAAGCCTTAATGAACCAGCACCAGGATCCATTGGAAGTTACTCAAGATGTGACCAGAGAATGGGCTAAAAAAGTTGTTTGGAAGAGAGAAAAGGCTAGTAAGATCAACGGTGCTTATTTCTGTGAAGGGCGAGTTCGAGGAGAGGCAATAAGGATACGAACCATGAAGATGCGTCAACAAGGTAACATGTCCCTAAGTTATGGGCAGGTGAGGTCCACTTAGGCACATACATACACCTTTTGCTTTGGCAGCTGCTCCTTCAGAGGCTGGACATAAGCTACCTGAGTGTAGAGCTTGAAGACCATGTCTGCCTCTTTCCAAGCACTGCTGTCTCTGATGCACAGAACATTGATAAAAGAGATTATCCAGTCCAACCCTCTCACTAGAAATTGTGCCTACTTCATGAGAGGAAATAAAATATATGTTCTACTAAGGGCTTCATGGCACTTATGGCAATATGACTGTGTCACATGTATGGAATATGAAAATCACAGCAATGAAGACGACTGTCCATTGCCAAACTTGGCTATTTTGAGCTTTCTCGTTGATTTTTCTTATAATACTTTGTTTCACTTGCCTCTAAATACTCTTAAAGGAAGTTAATATTTTCAGGGGAAAATTATTAGTATAATAGAAATAAGCATTTTAAAAGGGAAACATTTATCAATAACTCAATTTAGTTGGTTACTTGTATATCAGTGGTCTATTGCCACAATAACCCTGTGGAACATAACCACAAACCACAGTGGCGTACAACAATAAGCATTTGCATCTTGTGAGTAAGTCAGCTATGTTGATTAGGTGGCTCTGTTGACCTTGGCTGGGCTTTCTTACATATGTGGTATTGGCTGGCTGTGGGCTTTGTAGGTTGACCTTGGCTGGGGTAAGCTGGTTCGGTTCCATATGTCTGTTATCTCGTAGCAGGCTAACCTAGGTATGTTCTTATGAGATGGAAGAGGTGCAAGAGAAAAAAATGGAAGCACACTAGGCTTCTTAAGACCGAGGCTCAGAGTTGTGCACTGTTACTTCTGCCTCATTTTATTGAACAACACAAGTCAAACGAACGGCTGAGCCTGGAGTGAGGGTGAGAGGGCACTACAAACCGAAATGGCAGGGAGTATGGATACACGGAGGGACGAAGAACTGGGGTCCTCTTTGCAGGCTGCTATTCTTGGAAAGGTACTGTGATCTAATTTTAGCAGTCAAATACCCAGGCCCAGCTCAGAAAACACCCGAATTTTGAAGGAAGATTCTGAGAGCCTTCTCTAAGGGAGGATTATTACTCCTTGCTACCACCCCACACAAGGCAGTGATGTGATGGAGTTCTTCTCCCCAAGCAGAAGTGGGTCCTAAGCTAAATCTTTAGGACAGTGCATCAATCTGATTGCGGTTAAGGGAGCTGGTGTTGCCAATGTTACTTAATCATTGTGTTCTAAGGCTCCCAGGCCTAGACGGGTAGGTTGACTTCTGGTGCTCTTCATGCTATCTGCAGGGAAGAAGGTACAAAATTCCAGCAGAGATGACCCTTCTTTGTTCTGCCCAGCATGATCTGGCCCCTCACCCATCAGATCTCTGGCTGTTTAGACCTAAAATGAAGGCATCCTTTCCAAATTAATATTGTCATAACCACAAGGGCTGTCATTTCATGAAATGACGACAAATGAGGGTTTGTCATTTCATGAAATAATGACATTGTGAGATCTTTAGGGGTTTGATTTTTAATGACAAAGCTAATCCAGATAAGTAACACCCCTCTGCACGTTTCTGACAGTGTCTTATATAGTATAAGAATCTGCAGTTTTTTAGATCAATGCTTCTCGAAGTTGAATGTGCTTATAGATCACCTGTGAATCACTTACTGATCCAGTAGGTGTTAGGGAGAGTCCTGAGAGTCTGCATTTCTAACAAGATCCCAGGTGGTGAGCATCTGCCCGACCACGGACTCTACTTCAAGTAGCAAGTGTTTAGGGTTAGCCTCTAGCTGGGGTCCACCTGAAAACATTTCTTTGAATTTGCGAATGGTAGTAATGAAAAGATTTGAAGGCAGCAAACTCATTTTAAGGTCAAAAGTGATAAAATCACTATTCATCACAAATGAAGGAAAGGGTTTTCTTAGTAAAATTATAATGTTCACCTTTAAATGACACCAGGGTAAGTGGGAAAAGTGCACAACAGAAATTCCCAGGAATGCAGCCCTCCGGTGAGGGAAGAGAGGTTGAACAAAGGGATATGAGGTGTGCCAAAGCTATCACGGCTGAAAGTCAGCTCTATTATTTTTTGTATGTGTCATTTTTGGATTTGACTGGTATAAAGAGTAATGTTCTTCTGCTGATGTTTCCACATTCTGAATGAAAATGATCTGAGATTGTGCCCCAACGGTTTCATGGGAATGAAATGGGAAGTGCCACCGTGCCCTTTCTGGGCTGTCCTGAGATTGTCCTTTACAATTAATAAATAAGAATGTGTAGAGCATATCGAACCAGAATATTGGGAGTTAAAAACCAATTGTAACAATCCCCCCAAACCGAGAGTAAAGGGTAACTAAAATTCAGTAAAGTGAGGCAAAGGCAGGCATGGATAGTGAGCAGCAAGAGAGGATGGCTTTTAGACTTACACTCACCTGAGTTTTAATTCTTTCTCCACCACTCACCAGCTGTGTGGCCTTAGGAAAGTTATTTCTATTGGTGTCATTTTTGTCACCTGTGAAATGAATATAATAATACCTACAAAATTGTGTTGTTTTAAATAAGATGGTATATATGAGAAGCCAGTTCCCACGAGTGCATCAATTTACACAGTAGATGTGTTCCTAAAAGCTTACATCGAGTGAGACATTGCAGAATAAGGTACATAATAATAATAGCAGTTTTTAAATGGCGGCGATGGGATTCGATGCCAAAGGATCTGACTTCATAGCCTGTATTCATAACCACTGCATTACCCTATGCATATCATTCTCACCTAATGTTAACGACTCTCCCTGATTCTGAGCACGTATTTTATAAAGTACAATGATTCCACTTGAAACACTAAAAAGCAACCCAGGGCACAGAGTAGAGGGTTTGGGAGTAGAAGTCAGGCAGGTATGAGTTTGAGCCTAACTCTGCAACTGAATGGTATGGCGTAGGACACGCTATTTAATTGAAATCATAGTTTTTCCTCATTTGGAAAAAAAAAAAATTGGGATAGAGATTTTATCACATATATTTAAAAATTAAATGAGGCCCTTAAAGATTACCATTATCTAGTTTATAGTAAGTATTCAATAACTATCATTATTATAGTGTCTGGGATTAATAATTTGATGGGACTATTTTCTTATTCAATTCTAGAAATTTTTAATATGCATTAATGTAATTGTGGCAGTTTATACAAAATAGAAAAATAGGTAGCATGTTCTCTCCTGTATTTTGACAATAACATCTCAGGCTAATGAACTGGTTCTATTTCTCTTGCTTACCATCCAGTGGGATAAATACCCTTCAAGGAAAGTAAAATCCGTTATGGTGAGTCAGGAAAAACTTCCAAAACTGTGTCTTCATGCCACTGTTAATTCCCTCGTAAAACATCATGGGAACTCAGAACTGCTCTGCCTAGGGACACAGCAGGATGGGATAAACATAAATATATTCCTGCTTGCTGCTGACTCGTACATCTGGGGAGGAAGTGGAAAATCCATTTGCGATGTGCCAAAACACAGCTTAAATTGGCTCGCACACCCCAAATAGCCAAATTGTTTTTTATCAATGGCATCATCCAAACCAGTCAACAGAAGTTTGTTCAGACCTCACTGGTGATTTCGCTTGAGGTTAGGGAGTTATAAATAAAGTATGAAACATCTTTAGATCCAAAGATCGTTTTCAGAATGACCCATCAGGAAAAATATGTTTTTTTAATTCCTATTTTCATTTGAGAAATAGCTTTATATTAAAAACATCAAACTCCCCAAACATGATTCGTGAAATTGATAGAGCGGAGACATTCATATCTAAGTAACCCAAATAAACATGTTAACAGCACCAAGAAAATAGGAAAACTTGAAATCAGATTTGTTCATTTATGCTTCCATTCCACAATGATTCTTGAACCTCTCTCCTTGTGCCACCCATCGGGGATGTAATGATTTTAGCATTTCCTGAATATTTATTATGT